CATCTTAGGCATTTATCATTTCTTTGTGTTAGGAACATTCCAATTCCACTCTTTTAGTTATTTTAAAGTATACCCTAACTTATTGTTGATTATAGTCACTTTGTTGTGCTATCAAATACTGTTAATTCTATCTAACTATATTTTTGTACCCATTAACCATCCCCACTTTATCTCCCCGTCCATACTACCTTTCCCAGCGTCTGGTAACCATCATTCTACTCTCTGTCTCTATAAGATCAATTGTTTTCAATATTTAGCTCCCACATATGAATAAGAACATGCGAGATTTGTCTTTGTGTGCTTGGGCTTATTTCATTTAACATACTGTGAAATATTCTCTCCAGTTTCACCCATGTTGTTGTAAATGAGAGGATTTCATTCTTTTGTGGCTATATAATATTCCATTGTGTATGTATATGTACCATAATTTCTTTATCCATTTATCCATTGATGACACTAAGGTTGATTCCATATTTTGGCTATTGTGAATAGTGCTGCAATAAACATAGGAGTGCAGATATCTTTTCGATGTACTGAATTCCCCTTCTCTGGATATATACCCAGCAGTGGAATTGCTGGGTCATGTGGTAGTTCTATTTTTAGTTTTTTAAGGAACCTCCATACTGTTTTCCACAGTGGTTGCGCTAATTTACATTCCCACCAACAGTGTACAAGTGTTCCCCTTTCTCCACATCCTCGCCAGCATTTGTTATTGCTTGTCTTTTTTGATAAAAGCCATTTTAACTGAGGTCATTTTATCTCATTAACAGTTTTGATTTGCATTTCTCTGATGACTAATGCTGTTGAGCACTTTTTCATATCAGCCATTTGTATGTCTTCTTTTGAGAAATGTCTATTCAGATCCTTAGCCCATTTTTTAATTGGATTATTTGATTTTCTCCTATCAAGTTGTTGGAGCTCCTTATATATTCTAGTTATTAATCCCTTGTCAGATGGGTAGTTAGCAAATATTTTCTCCCATTCTGTGGCTTGTCTCTTCACTTTGTTGATTGTTTCCTTTGCTGTACAGAAGCTTTTAAGCTTGATGTGATCCCATTTGTCTAATTTTGCTTCGGTTGTCTGTGCTTTGGGGGTATTACCCAAGAAGTCCTTGTACAGACCAATGTCCTGAAGCATTTCCCCAATGTTTTCTTTTAGTAATTTCATAGTTTCAGGTCTTAGATTTGAGTCTTTATTTTGATTTGACTTTTGTATATACCAAGAGATAAGGGTCTAGTTTCATTCTACATATGGATATCCAGTTTTTCCAGCACCATTTATTAAAGAGACTGTCCTTTCCCCACTGTATCTTCTTGGCACCATAAATTCACTATAGATGTGTGGATTTATTTCTGGGTTCTTTATTCTGTTCCATTGGTCTACATGTCTGTTTTTATGCCAGTACCATGCTTTTTGGGTTGCCAGAGCTCTGTAGTATAATTTGAAGTCAGGTAATGTGATGCCTCTAGTTTTGTCCTTTTTTTCTCAGGATGACTTTGGCTATTCTGAGTCTTCTGTGGTTCCATATAAATCTTTAGGATTATTTTTCTGTTTCTGTGAAGAATGTCACTGGTATTTTGACAGGGATTGCATTGAATCTGTAGATTGTTTTGGGTAGTATGGACATTTTAACAATACTAAGTCTTCCCATTAATAAGCATGGAATATCTTTTCATTTTTTTGTGTGATGACTATTTTTAGACAAAGCTTTGCACAGCTACTAGTATCTATTTTCTATTAGTTTTCTCTTCAATACTGGAATTGCAGTATGTAAAATTTAAAAGCAGTTTCTAGGGATATACTAAATATTGAACTCTGTGAGTTAAAAAATGCACTTTACCTCTCTTTAGCCTAATTTTATATTTGTAAAATCAAGTCTGAATGAAGAGCTAGGTCCCTTCTTACTCTATGGGTCAATCCAACAGTGGCGTGCAGACAGACAACTGATATTCTTTCACCCTGCCAGGTGCTATCTTTACTTCCTTCCCCTATTCAGCACAGATTCCATGGTCTATCACTGCAGCCACTCTCTTGCCATAAATTCTTAATTTTGTCCCATTGCACATCTATAATACCCACATGGCAAGACCACAACCCTGGATCAACACAACTGCCCACCTTGTCTGATCCTAGACTTACGCTGCTAGAGAGGGTCGAAAGTCACTGGTATGACCTAATTGAATGTTCTCAACCTCAATGGACCTTCATCACCGTACAGCAATCCTTGTGTCTCCCTAATCCTCTCCACTGGCCTTCAGAGGAGCTACTTCAAACTTCTGACTTCTAAATAACTACATAATTGTTCATTCGCCTCCTTCAAGACTTCACCCAAATGTCACCTTCTTAATGCAGCTTTTCCTGACCAAAATTTTAATCTGCAACCCCCTCTTCTTTGTTTTTCACCATCTACTAAAGTATACATTTTATTTGTTATTTTGCTTATTGTCTATTTTCTGTGACTAGAATGTAAGCTCCATAAGGTCAGGGAGTTTTTACATGTCTTGTTTACCGCTGTATCCCAATGCTTCCAACAGTGCCTGCCACACAGACTCATTCAAATATTGAGTGAGGAATGAGTGAATGAGTTTCCTCCTTCCAGGGACAAAGTTCTACCCAGCTGGGCCATTTCAAACCTCTCTGCATGGGCATCTTTCATCAGGATTTGAATGCACCAAAGTCTTCACAGTTTTATTAACAAAAAGCTTTCTCTTAATCCCCAACTCCTCCTGTTGCTACCATTCTCTTCCCTTCTCCCTTAGATTGCCAATTTTCTGTGAGAGTTGTCTGTATTTCCTGTCTTTCCTTCCCCTGGTTCTTCTCAATCAACTGCTCTCTGCCTTCTGCCTCACCATTGCACTTAACTGCTCTCCTCAAGGTTAAAGATCATCACTTCAGGGACAAAACCAGTCCTGATCTAACTTGGCCTCTCTGCAAGCACATAAGAGGGTACTACTGATAATTGCTGGCAATTCCTTTCTTCTTGACGTACTCCTTTTTCGTGGCTTTCCAAGCCTTCATTCTATTTCTCTATTTCTTCTCTGTGCCCTTTTCAAGTCCTCTTCCTCTGCTTGTCCCTATGATATTAGGGTTCTTTAGGGTTCTGTATAGGCATCCCTTCACTTTTACTCACATGTACTTCTTGAGTGATCTCATAAATTCCCTTCTTTTCAATTTCCATCTATAAACTGACAGTTCCTGTAAGAGATACAGCTCTCTCTCCAGAATGCTAGACTATGCAACTATTTAAAGGACATCTCTACTTAGATGCCTCACACTCACCTCAAACTCCACAACTCCAAAACTGAACTCATCACTTTGCTACTTCCCACTACTCCCCTGACCATCTGTTCTCCTCCCATGTTCCCAATTTTAATTAAATGGTACTACCACTATACTACCAGTTTACCCTAGCCAGAAACCCAGAAGTCATCTTTGACTTCCCCCTCTTTCTCTTCCTCATTTTCCTACATCTAAATCAGGGTTTCTCAACCTCGACACTACTGACATTTTGGGGCCAGATAATTCTTTTTGTTTTTGTGGGGGGGAGGGGGGCTGTCCTGCACAGTACAATCTTAACAGCAAACTTGGCCTCTGCCCACTAGGTGCCAATAGTACCTCCCCCTTCCCCAAAGTTCTTACAACCAAGAGTATCTCAAGACATTGCCAAATAATCCCTGGGAGGGCAAAATTGCCCCCATTTGAGAACCACTGTTCTGTATCTACCCGTAAGTCCCGTTTCACCTCCTAAATACTTTATCTCTTAAATTGATCCATTTTCTTCATCCCGACTACCACATTCTTATTTCAGGCCATCATCAGGCTAGATCACTCAAGTAGTCTCCTAACAGACTGGTCCTCTCCAAGTCATTCTCCACAATGGTGCTAGAATGACCTTTCAAAGGTCAAATCCCTTCATATGACCCTTCAACCGCTTCCTCCCAAATGAACAATAAAGATTTTAGAGCTTCTCTTTGCTCTGCAAATAAAGACAAAAGTCCTTAACATGAATTGCAACACACTTTATAATCTGTCCCCTTGTTTACCTGTCCAGCCTCATCTTTCACCACTCATCCCCTCAAACTCTATGCTCCAGTTAGACAATTTCTTCTATGGTACAAACTGAACCTTTGGAGGGTTTCTCTAACCTGGGACATTCTATTTATTTTTAACCAACGAATGATTACTACAAAAGACAATATTTGGAGCTGATTCCTCAAAAGGTTATTTCTTTATGGGCAAGTAGAACCAGCAGAACAAAGTGCAAACCAGATAATTGGTTTAAAAATATCTGGGCAGGCCGGGCCCAGGTGGCTCACGCCTGTTACCCTAGCACTCTGGAAGGCCAGTGCGGGAGGATTGCCTGAGCCCAGGAGTTCCAGACTAGCCTGAGCAACAGTGAAATCCCATCTCTACAAAAAAACAGAGCGGTGTGGGTGGTACAGTGGTGAGCATAGCTGCCTTCCATCTCTACAAAAAAATAGAAAAATTAGCCAGGCATGTCAGTGCGCATCTGTAGTTCCAGCTACTTGGGAGGCTGAGGCAGGATCCCCTGAGCTCAGGAGTTTGAGGTTGCTGTGAGTCATGATGGTGCCAGATATGTACTCGGGCAAAGTCTTAGTGCTCTGAAAGTTTTCACTCATCCCAACTGACAGTGGAAATCAGAGGCAATTAAGTCAAAGTTCAACTTCAGATCCACTCCCCTCAGCCTTATTTCAGCCAATGTAACAAACAGCTTTTCACAATTACCATTACCTATTCTCTACTAATTTTCTCTTCAGTATCAGTATTAGAGTATGCAGAATTTACAGTCAGTATCCAGAAGCGGAGGAAGGTGAGGAATCCCTGTAATAAAAGCAGAAGCCACAGACTGCTATTTTATGCGAAGACCCTTAGTACCTGCACAGACAGGCCGAGGTATTTAGCTCTATCACTATCTTTTCTCCCTTCCGAACAGCAGAGATACTGCGAGAAACACTCCTTGTCCCCTGAGAAAAGTTAAGTCTGTCCTGAACAGTAAGATATCCCGCAGGGTGGTGCGCAGGCGGGGATACCCCCGGCTTCCGCCACCTCCACACAGGATGGCCCTGCCTCGGCCAGCTCTGAGTGGCGATCGGGATCCTCCCCACCCGGGTCCACACTGGCGAGGCCTCCCTCCCCACGCACCCACACCGGCCGCGCGTCGCTGCCCACCTCACAGGGCAGGAGTTCGGTGCCGGATTCCTGCCGCTTCGCGATCCGGCAGAACACGCATTTGCTGTCGTAGTCCTCCGGTGTCTCGGCGACGTCTTTGGAGGTCTCCACTGAGGGCACCATAGGTTCGGCAGTCGCCGCTGCCTCACAATCTGGGCTGGGGTCAGAGCTACAGTTCACCTGCTCCTGCGCCATCGCACCCGCCCCCCTCGGCTTCTCCAGCACTACTGCGCCGGCGCAGGGTCCGCCTCCAGCTCCCGCACCTCCGCCGTTTTACCTCGAGGCGTCGCCCCTCGCCTGGCGCTGGGCCGTGCCGCAGGCTGATGGGCGCACGCGCTGAGCTAGGCGGACCGCAGTGGTAAGCAGTGGTGGGCCGCAAAGCCAGCTGCCACTAGGGGGCGCGCGACGGCGCCTCCGGGAGTCACCCCTCACCGCGCGCCTCGTTGGTAATGGCGTACGACGTCCGCCAAAACGCAAAGCGCGCCGCGCGGCCGGGTGACGTCACTGGGGCGCGGTAACGACTGGCTTAATGGTGCCCATCGGGTATTCTGTGTAGCCGTTCTCCAAAGCGTGTCATATAGCATGTCTCAATATTGTATCACGCTGTAGTTTAAAAAATTTAAAACACCTTTTAAAGTTCGGTTTTAAGACTGAACCTCTAGAGCCTTGTTTTCAGCATAGATCATGTTTGGCGCTTTGTGTATGCATTTTCAGCTATGATAATTTTAGGAGTTTAAGCTCAAAATGTCCCAAACTGAACTTAATATCTCTGTTGACTTTTTGTTGTTGTTTAACAGCACCACATATATCAAAATAGCCACCTTTCTTATCTCACATTCCTCATGTATAAGTAAATGTAGAGCCCTGTAATTGATAGTCCGAAATGTTCCAGAAATTCAGTGCCAATGCCTCATTATGCCTCACCTGGACCACTACAATAACCTTTTAACTTATTTCTCTTTTTTTTTTTTT